AAAAAGTGTTTGCTATGATGTTTCAAGTGTTATACATGAGAAAGTAAGCTGTCATTCAGAATTAGTTTCTTTGATGGGGGGGCTTTCTAGATCTTGTAAAACAAGTGGATTGCCATCAGACTAATCTGGTTAAAGGCCTCTGAAGTTCTTAAACAATCTTTTTCCGTCTTAGTTGTTTTGAGTTATATCCTTGAAGAAAGATGCTACACTTTCAAAAACTATTTTATCCGATTTTTAGTTTACAAAAGATGCCACTCTGTCTTTCCTTTACTGATGGTAGAGTCCTTTGTGGCGTCTTTAGAGGGAAAAATTCTCTGCGGTCGAATATGGTGAGAGACCAAGAAAGATGCACAAACATAAGTATAGTATTGGAATGGCAACAGTAAAATAGAGAGAAAAGAGAGCGTATTTTTATTATTGTCATCGGACTTCATGTAGTACAATGCTATCTCCATAAGATAGAGGCCTAGGCTAAATTACAAGTATGGGGACAAAGGAGTGCAAGCTAAGAGCTTCTAAAGAAACTAAATATGGAAGGTACAATGTTCTTTAGAGAAAATACAAGTGTAAGACAAGGAAAAATAAAAGTCGTGTATAGCAGAAGGCTGTGTAGTTGAATGCTTTTGAGTATTGTTGGATGCCATGGTAGCTTGTCCTTCATCTCATATTTATAGTCATCCAGGTCCTCGGAGTCTAAGTTTGACTTGGGTCTTCCGTTAGTCCGTTGAACTAACTTAGTCGTTGGGGCCGATATCTACTCCAATGATCTCCATGGAGGATGTTGTGGAAATTAATTGATGACATATTTTTCCTAGTGGTATTTTTTGATAAGGTGTTTCCTGGTGGTATTGTGTCTGTCTAATGCTTCATACGAATATAGCTATGAAGCTTGGGACACCGGTTCAGATACGACATGAAAATTTTGTCTCCTAATGGTGTTGTGTCCTCTAGTTTTCAAAAACTTTATTTCATACCCAACCTGGGTGTACAATGCTTCATAGTGGTGAACTGCTGATCTTCAATTTGTGTAATGCTTAACTTTTTTAACTATCATGAAGGAGAGAAGCTCATTAAAATGTTCTAGCTTCTGCGAACAATATGTGGTATTCCAGTTTAGGGAGTTAATGAAATACATTATTTATAGCTACTAGATGTTTTCTTAAAATATCCTAGGTCATATACTCAATTATGTATATTATGTCCTAGTGGATTTGTGTCCCTCTAATTTCAGAACTTCATATCATGCCCGACGCTGGTGTCCCATGCTTCATATTTTCTCTATCTCAATATGCAGAACACGTCAATTAATTTTTTTTGTTCAAAAGAAGATCATGAAGGAGAGAAGCTCATTAGAGATGATGTAGCTGTATGAACATTATAATGTGTTCCAGTTTAGGAAATATTCATGTTTAGAATCTATTACCCTTCAAATTTGTTTTTGTTATGTTTAAGAAGCTTTTCCGTGTTCTCTCTCATTATATGGGTGCAGAATTCTGGTAGAAGATTAAGATGCTTATTCAAAATGAGCTGGAGTTGTTACAACTACAAAGGCCTTAAAGGTTGTGAAACTCTGGGTGCTGCGTCCTCCGTTCGAAAAGCAAGTTGTTTACATATATGTGCATTCATTGGAATGAATATCCAACTAAGGTGTTGGTTACATGGGTCGGTCCTTAGAGTTATGTGCTTTCTCAGCAACTTAACCAGGACTTGGTTTTTCCCCCTTACAAAATAACCCTTATTCCACCATATCTTTACTTTTTCTGGAGCCACATGATATTCACTGCCCTATATTTCTAACTTTTATTGTGCACTCTTCAGTTAGGCTGCATATGGATGGCACTTAGAAGTTGCTTGTGAACAGCTTGATCCTTTTCTGGGTCCACCTATAGGTTATCTTGCCTTCCCCTTGTCTGTACTGTTCATTTGGAATGCATATCGTGACACTGTTAGCATCCATGGAACTAGAATACAGCAATCGTATGATTTTGAAAATTTATATTTCATGGTTTGGACCGTAGCACTTTAGTTGGTCTATGCTATTCTAGTGTTAAATTGTCTAGTTTTACTGTAGTTTCTCTAGCACTCATCAGTAGTCAAACCTTTAGCTCCTGTACCTTATGGCTTTTGGAAAACTCCAGGTGATTTTTTGTTCTTTCATTTGATCATGATTCTTTCTGTTTTTCATTGTAATTGTCCAATCCGCACCCAGGCATGCACATTATCAAACAGGAAATACACCGCTAACATTGGTTTGGAAGGATGAGAACTGTAGCCAGTATGTCATTGATACAGATAATAAAGGACAAGTTCCAAGTCAACAACAGGTACATCACTCTTTGCCCATTATGTCCATTATGTACCTTTTGAATTTGAAAGTTGTTACAACTCAATTATGTAATCGATAAGGTTACACAAGGATTGTAAAACGAATCAAGCCACTAAAAAATCTAACTCCCAGGGCAACTAAAGAAAACTTTGTTTGAGTTACTTTTGTCGAAAAATTGAAGTTCTTGCCAACAATTTTAGCTTGGCTGAAGCTTGTATTGGTAAATGAATTGACATATTTAGCTCTTATGAAAGAGTAAGTTAATCAACCTCACTTAAGGTTGTCTGAGCTTGATCCCTAAAATAATGAAGAAAATTCTAAAGCTCACCATTTTACTTGACTTAGGCCTCTTCTCCTTAATCCTGATCATAAGCAATTAATGCATATATTTCTTGATTTCGCAGGCTTTTGCTTAGTAGTTAGTTTCTACATAAAAAATCTACTCACTAGGCTCTGTAAAAAGGGCAGCCCGGTGTATTAAGCTTCCGCTATGCGCGGGGTCCGAGGAAGGGCCGGACCACAAGGGTCTATCGTACGCAACCTCACCAGGCTCTGTAATGTATTAAAATCCACCTATGGATGCGAACGACGAAATTACCTTATTTAGAACTTATGGTACCGCCATATCGGAGTGCTTGCTGGTCATAATTAAAACGTTAGTGAATCATTTGGTTTATAGCATTATGAATAGGGGAGCTGTCACACATATTAGGCTAGAAATAGAAATTATGTCCCTGATTCAAGTTGAATCTCTTAGTAGAAAAATTAAAGGGTGTAACTTTATGTTGTAACGTTTTTTCTGAACCTTAGGGCTTGGTGCAGCTTAGGGTCATAAAATGATATAATCACATTTGGCAATGATATCGACAATTACGTGGATTTGGAATTTGTGTTTATAGATATATATCTTTTAGCTGTGAGGGAGGATGTTCTGGTACAACGGTACATGGCCAAGGCTTCCAGCTTGAGATGATGTAATCGAATTTGTCGACTAATTCGGTTTATGTAGCAGGAATGAGTTCGTAATCGCTATCTTACCTAAAACCCAATTTGCTAGGGATTGGCTTCTTTAGGTCATATCTATACAATAGGAGGAAATGATTAATCTATTTTTCTTTCTTGAGTTTTAGAGAATTTGGAAGTTTTATTGTAAAATTACAATTTTTGAGCTGGAATTAGGGATAACAAGTGCTGCTGAATTTTTCTTATCGTTATTCTATTGTCTTTGGATCTAGCATTCAAAATCACTATTGTATTGTTTTTGGAATGGAGGAATGAAATTCACCATATGCTAGTGGATTTAGTGAATTGTGGTAAATGGGATTCACACATTTCGTTTCTTGTACAACCAGGTAGTTTTGGAGCTCCTAGGTGATGGCAGACTGGCTACATCTGATGATCCTCCTGTCGTATTTGGTTGCTTGCTTGGGGATTTCATACAAAAGGTTCGATCGTATCATCATTTTGCACTTTATTTAATTGGGATTAAGAGGAGGAAGGATAGAGGAGAGGTGTGAAAAAGCCCTCCTAGTCAGCTTTCTCAATCCTCCAAACTTAGGAAGAAGTAAATCAGTTTGGTACCAAAAGAGCGGAGTTCATAGTAGCTCTTTTTCTCTCTCCTTTTGCTTTTTCTTCCCCTTTTCATATATCATTCCTTGTCTTGTTATCCATTACTGAAATCTCCTCTCATGGTCTTCAGACAGAACTTCACCGTGGAGATCTTATAAAGTTTGCTATAGGTGAAGGAGGATTAGTTTTTGTTGACAGTAAACTGGAGAAAGCTGATCTACAATACCTGGGCAAATCCAATCGTGCTCGTGCTTTTGCTGATAGTTATTCGAAGGTTAGATGGTGGATTCAGATTGCATGTCCTATGTTGGAGTTGCTGATTCAATTACCAGTTTAAAATTTTAATCACGTAGATCTGGTGCCAAGTGTTCGTCCTATATATTGTGGTACCATGCCATATCGCTGTTGTAGTCCATGCGCAAATCTGTTGGATCATTGCATGGGTTGCTCTTTAATGAAGTATCTTGGCATGTTTCGACAGAATTCATTTCACGGATTAAGTCCTTCAACTCAGATGCGTGCTTCATTATCATTGGATGTTTCGTTTGACATAGTAACTTGATTTTGTTTGTCAGGTCTTGTTCCAGTACGCTGCTCGACATTCTCCTCTGAGAATTGAACATCTTTTTGCATCAATCAGTTCATGTGTCGAAGATGGAAGATCAACTCAAGATGCAGATATGGCTGGTTAAAGGTGCCATGCACAGGAAATGCTTTTCAACTAAGCCTTATAAAATTGCATTGTTAAGAAATTAACAACCCAGAGTAATGGCATGATCTTTCCCGTCTACATTGCTTTCCGTGTTTGGAACGTGTATATATGACCCCAGAAAATACATATTGGCGTCATGTAAGATGAGAATAATGGTGAATTAGTAAGATAAATGCCATGTTTTTACTTCATCCTGTGAGGGTTTTCCCCTGCTGATATTTAGACACTTTTCTCCCCTCATCTCATCTACTGTTTCTTAATTTGGGCAACTAAGCTTTTACAAAGCAATATTAAGGGAATGCAGAGTTGAGTTGCAGAGACACAGCTGAACTTACCTCTCGTATCAAACAGTTAATATCTTGAACGTAATATTGTTAAAACAGGCTCAAAAGGTGGGTGAATGCAATCTTGAAGGTAAAATGCCCGTAGCTCTCTTGGTTAATACTTTGGCTTATTATTCTACAACAGAATATTTTGGAATGAATATTTGTTCGTTATGAACAGCTCCGATACTCTCTTTGATGCCCCTCTCCCCCCTCCACTTTTCGATGCGTCTAATCCGCGATCGAATACGCGATCGAATCCGCGTTAAACCATCACATCAACGCTGGAAACTGTATTCAGCAAGTGGGGAGTGAAAATGGATGGATTTGGATTGTGAGGCGACCATCCTGAAGAAAGAAGAAACGAGAAGGAACTCCCAAATGACATCTTCTCCAGCTGCAATGAAAATTTGAAGGTGCTAAAAACTAAAGCTAATGTACATTATGGCATCTTTTATTGTATCGGAACCAATTACAACAAATCTTATACCTGAATGATTTCACCAGTGTACATTTAGATCGGTTCAAGAAGCAAGAGTGGTTGGCTCACAACCATCATGGACACAAGCTAAGACATCTTTATAGTCCCTTGAGATGGTGAAAGAATCATAGACTTTACCATCTCTACTCTTTTTATATTCAAAAAGAAGCGATGAATGATTAAAGGCTGTAAGCTTGACGAACCCCCAATCATAATCCTTGTAAAGACTCCAAGTGGTATTAACTGGACTGAATTCTGATAAGTGGCTCCCTCCGCCACCTACAACAACATGGATTGTTCCATTGACAACACCAGAATAGTGTGATCTTTCCGAGTTCACGCATTGGTTCTGCATCATAGGAAAACATCATAGGAAAGTCCAATGTGAAAACACTGAGAATGGACACATGCACCTAGCTGTTCTTTAAAAAATTTCATGTTTTTGCCTTTACTTAAGAAAGGTCCAGATATCAATCCTGGTATAAAATGCCCTTGTTAGTTTCCTTATTTTTGAAGACCGAATAATAAGAGCATGAATTACTGCCAGCATATGCTCTTGTTAAAGACAGGTTTATTGGTAAAGGAAAAAGAAGGAAACAATAAGAGAAGCCAGAAAACAAAGGTGTTTTGGATAGAAATGAAACAAAAGGGAAAAATTCCATATAATCAAGCTTCTCCTTTTCTTTCCTTTTAATTCTTTTGATGCAAGTACCCTCTCTTATCTTAATACAAGTAAGATTAAAATGTCTGGTGAAATGCTGACGAAACTATCTTGAGAACCAAAACTCCCTAATAACTGTATTTGCCTCTATTTGAGACGTACAAGTAGTAAAATGCAGTTTCAATACAGCCATATAAACTTTCCCAACAATGGATGTGATTTCTAGTTTTGAGTTTATACAACTCAACACGTAAGCTTTGACATCAGAAACGAATTGTATGATTCAAAGTAGGAAAAAATAAGTAGCAATGCTTACCTGGTAAATAGGACAAGTTCTTTCATAGTTATGAACATGACCATAAAATGCAATATCCACTTTATATTTCTGCCAAAGCTTCTGCAAGCTTTCCCTTCCCATGGGCTCCTCAAATGAACCTCCTATGCCATACCATTTGTCAGAAGAGTAACCAAGAACCCGATGAGCAGAAAAAATCAGCCAAGGCTGCTTCTGTCTGTCTACTGATGCAAGACAATGTTCAATAAATTTATATTGCTCAGATCCCTCTCTCCAATCATGCTCGCTGTCTGCTATGCAAAAGTGAAACATGCCATAATCTGTTGAATACCTGCAGTTAGTAGGATACATATGTCATAGCAAAATGTCAGAAGTTGACGGAAGAGTGTCCTAATGTAAATGATTCAGGTGCTTTCAACAGATATGGTGCAAATAAGCTTTTAGGAATGTAACTTGCTCATCTCTTGCTTCCACATACCAAATTGAATATCTTGATTTATTTTTTAAGGGTCAAGCTTCAACATCTTTGGCTATAACTTCTAAAGTCTTTTTCTTCCCCGTAACTTCTAAAGTATTTCTAAATTGTGAAAAGTGAAAAATATCAACAGAAAAAAAAAACAATGAATTCAACTTCAATCACAATGGAGACTGGACAAATTAAAACCAATTAAGACCTTCAATTGGAAAAATGTGCACAGGTACAAGACACTCTTCAGTACAAGCACTTAAACAATCTTTCAAGTCCTTTTTTTGTTCAATAGAGAAAAGTTACCCACCCCTTTTTAAGCACGAAAATTCTTTTTACTTGTCACAGCAGAACCTGATTCTTTCTTTTCTTTGTGTGTGTGTGTGTGTGTTGTGTGTGTGTNACAATCACGCTCATGATTACCACTGCAAGGAGTTCATATTTCATAGAAAAAGAAATAAATGAAAAGTAATGGGTGAAGCTTAATAACACACAACATTGTTGAGGACACGAACCTTGCAATCATATAGGGTACGGTTGATGCAATAGGTTCCACTTGTGCAGTAAATTGGTCCCATTGTGATATATATCCATTGGCATACGTAATGTCTCCTATATGAAAAACTATGTCAATGTTTTTAAGATCCTTGATGAGTTGGTCCGTTGTATTGAGTGAGCCTGGTTGATAATTACTATACTCATTTGAACCATCGCGCTCTGCCTGAAAATCACTATACAGTTTAATTGGTTCTGATTTTCATATTGAACAAAAACTTGGTTCAAGGAAGATGAAAGCACAAGATTCTGTAAAGCCCGTCTTCTGCCCAAAATGAACAACTACAAAATAATCCACAGGAAGCATCTCAAGATATCTACGACAACCATTCAATGAAACACATTCTTCAAGTTACTCAATGGTTAGTGATTTCTAGTTCCCAGGACTTTTCTAAAATGCAAAGGGTACTCTAGAAGGGCCTGACCGTACAGTAAGCAAAAGGGGAATTGTAAAAGATTATCACAGCATTCAGACTAAATCAGTGACAGGTAATCCTACTAGCAAACAATTCCAAACTGGATGTATGTGCTCAGCAAAGGAGAAAAAACAAGCTTAACCTCTGGCCATCATATCAATTATATCAATTGACAATGATTTAAAAGCTTAACCTCCACTCACATGGAGTGGCCTTGCATTGTCATAAGATCAGTGGTAGCACAAGCTTAGAACTTGTAGTTTATCAGCTCATAACATTCTAAAGAAAGGAAATATGATCATGAATGATAGTTTGAACTCAATATATATGATATGACAGTAAATGAAAAATTTGTTGCTCAAATAAGTCTTAATAACTCGAACTATATGCAATTACTATACTGCTCTAGAAACCAAATTTAGTAATAACCTGGTAATATGATGCTTAAATCAATGCCTATAAGACATGTCTCACATTAATCACATGAATCTGCTGAATCAAGCTGTCATACAGGACCCATATTTGAACTGCTTTGCTAACATCAGAATGTAGGTGAATTATCATATTCAGAGTAGGAAAGGTAATAATTCAATGGACATAAAACTAGTGCTCCCACTATAGCAATTTAAATGACCTTTTGGGACATCGTGAATGATTTACTCGCTATTGTAAGTAAGAATGTTCAACAATCTCATCACAAGTTTCTTTGATTTCAAATTCATTTGGAAATTCATATTCTACAAAAAGCAATGCTTTTTTCCTTTCAGAAAAACTTCACGTATTTCATATTTCACTTTGTCCAACTTGAAATTCCAGAGAAATTGTCTCATCTTCCTGAAATGAGATGTTAGCCTATAACTTCGTACAATCCTTAGTTGGGTTAAAGAAACGACGGAACCTTGTAACTCTGATTCTATTTTTGGCACTATATCCAAGAAGAGAAGAATGGAAGAGAGACGGATTCACTAATTTTTCATTGTTAGTACTTGATGTTACCTTTCCCATGTCTCCAAAAATTATAACCCGTTGCAACGAGTTCTGTCCCGGATATGGGGATGATCTAAAGGAATACATCTTACTCCAAACATAGGAACCATTTGATAATATGTGACCCATCTTGTATGTGTACCTGACAAGTTTGTTGTTTAACACAACAGAAATATACATGAACATTGTCTCAAGTCAAAGTTCTATTCCTGAGGCAACACAAATTGTACAACAAACTTACAAGTTGTTTGGCCACAAATCCTTCATGAAGCTAGTGTGTATGAACCCTGGATCACGCCAACCAACTGTACGAGCAGGCGAACCTGAAAGTGCACATGAGATAAGTATTACTCGCAGGCTGATATATCTCACTGGTCTGCTAACAGTGGAGCACAGATTAAATGAAACAGTTGGTTAAACTGGAATTTAGAGTTTATTCGATGATTGCCGGAATTGGTTCTTTGCCCCAATTAAGCTTAAATATCATGATTTCTCAACCCTTTGGAGAGTCTACATAGAAATTCTAACGTCTAACATTCACTGACGACCTCTGCAAACACCCTTTACAGAAGATGGACTAGACTCCAATAATCTGTCTTATACAGTGACCACCATAACCACATGCAGCATCAGTCGCTTAAGAATAATAGGGGACAGAGCTCTATGCTAGTTTTAGTGTTAGAAACTGGAAAAGCATATGCACAAATCATAAAATTCAAACTCAAAAACTGTTAGTTTGATAAAAAAAAACTGTGTAATTTTTTGTGTATGCTTAAAAATGTCTACAACAGAAGCTGCAGGCCAAAAATAGCGCAACTCACTTTTATCTCAGTTAGAGTTTGCAATGATTATTACAGAATAGGGAAGCACCTGAGCGCAAACCATGGTTGTCTCCCTTAAACAATTTGTAGGTACGATACTTATTTTCTTTCCCTCATTTTCTTATGGTTGAAGCATAACTTCAAAATAAAAAGGCTACTCAGGTCCAATGAAGCCACTCTGTTGCTCCCAAAAAATTGTGTGAGATTGATTATTACCATTTGGTGTTCTTCATCACATACTTCTTGATCATTGATAAAGAAATGAACCTTGGTCTTAATGATAAAGAAACGAAGGGTTGAGTTGGGCCCAAGGTCCATTTCTTTAACAATCATCATGTTTTTAAGTTCTCAATAATTTGCTTTACCCTCTTGGAAATACATTTGGAAACATAAATGAAGACAACCAATTTTAGTGTCACTGCTCCCTAAAATTAGCAATACACATGGTGAATCTTAAAGTTTGTGATTGGTAAATTGATCAATTTCACTTTACAAGATTTATACGATGCTACATGAGGAATGTTGTCATTAAAATTGTAACATACCACACATGGTGTTTCTATCAAATGTCAATGTTCCTGCTGGTGAGCGATGTTGAGGATCACCCTTCCGACCCCACTCAATGAAAGGAACAGCTTCGTCTATATCATAGCCACTTGTCCAGGTCAATGTCATCTATGGAAACAGAATAAAACATGAAGATTTACATCACCTACTAGAAAACATGAAGATTTACATCATGCAGATATAGCTAGTGTACTTATTGAGACAAATGATGGAATAGCACAATAGGGTGAGGATGATGTTCCTTCCTCTATAGTAGAGAAATAAACTAGGATTAGCACCAACTTACTTCATTCCATGACTTCCCCAAAGCAAGCCGTGGATAAAGTGGCGCTTTAGGATTTGCAAATGATATGGAATTCGAAATTGCCACCAGCTTTGGCTGCAACAAATAGCATATATTTAGTTAACTTGACAAAAATACTAAAACTGGCAAGCATTTGAGCAGCTATTTTGTTTGTAGATTTGTGATGGATCAAAATATCATCTACAGCACTGGTATGCAGCACTTGCTGGATGATGTGTATTTTGGAATTTGAATGCTGAGTTGTATGGAGGTTTTATTTCTGTTCACATATCTTTCAACAGGTATGTCAAATCAAATACTATATGATAAGAACATTAAGATGAGCAATGGAAACCTTTAAATGTAAGCCAAAGTGAATCCTAATGTTATTTTTTCATGCAACTTCTATAAATCTAAAGTGCAAAGCAATTTGGGGTGGGGGAAAAAGGAAAAAGGAAGAGAAAATGAAGCATAGAGGTCAGTTGATTTACAGACATTTGACAACCCGCTGGTAAACAATGCAAAGGAGAAATCTGCCCGCTGATTGATTAATTGGAACTTCAGTGAAGTTTTTCCTGTTTTCTCGTAACCAGAATTGGAGAAATTTGCAAAGTTGTACTGCGGCAAACACATTATTTTGGTGAGAAAATGCAAACACATCTCCTAATTGCTTTCAGTTCTTTAAAATATGCTTGAACTATACTAACCTTAATTGGTGCTGTACAAATATATGGAGCCTGTTCTCTGGGATCGTTTTCAAAATAACATGTGGATCCACTGAGATGCAAAAGGACTACATCAACTCATTATCGGAAGATCTATTGTCAAGCAGCAAATTTAACAAGACTAGTCTGCCATAAGCTGTTCAAAGATGAACTTCACTAACCATAAGGATGCTACAGCTTAAAACTACTGAAGGCATTTGGGAAAGATAGATATAATACAAAAAATGAACATACTTGAATTTTGCTGGAGAGAAAACTCCAACCCAGTCATCATGAGATGGCTTGGGGTGCTCAATATCCACCGTTACCCATTCTGTGTCACCACCCTGTCATGTTAACGGATATATCATAGCTCACAAAGAGTATCCAAACACCTCTAGAATCAGCAGCGGAGACAGAAATTCATACAAGAGGATACAAAAAAAATACTAGAATATCACACCTACGATTTGAACTTGTGCTCTAAGACAATATTTGAACCTCCTTTACCACTATACTAGAATATTTTCTTATCAAGGGGATTCAACAGTTCATATATAACCCCAAAAAAGTTGTTTTACTCTATTTGTTCAGTACAGCTTTCCAGCAATGGGGTTGCTCCCTTTAGCTCGCCTACTGTCTAGAAGCAGGGGTAGAGCTAGAGTGTCGGAAGCGGGTTCGGCCAAACCCAGTAGCTTTGGTTCGAACCCTGTATTTGTCTTAAAAATCTATTGAATAACGTACAAATTATTAGTTAGAACCCAGTAACTTCAAACAATTAGAATCCCGAACCCATAAGCTTGAAACCTTGGCTCGTCTAGAATGATACAAGACTAAATATAAGCAAAAATGAGTCCCTAAATGCGGTGAGTCGAAAACATCAAGAGGCCAGTGGCGAGCTAAGACTACAAGATTGTAAATGATAGCAGGTCTTTGTAAAAGCTAAGAGAATGCTAACAGGTATATACTATAGACCAATTAATGAATTAGATAAATGTTTCAATTTCGCCCCAATATCCATCTTAAAAGCTTCATCCTCCCTCGTCCCTACCCAAAGACCCCCACCACCAAAAAAAAAAAAAAATTTACCTAAGAGGATGAAGACAAAGGATTACAAATAAAACAAAAATCCACAAGGTATAAGTACCTTGGTACCAAGAATAAATGGATAAGCTTTAATGGTGACTGAATCCTGAAGTGCAAGAGTAGCTCTATGTATTGCTATGTTTGATAAAGGCTGCTCCCCATTATGAGCTGAAGCAACATACAGACTACCCAACAACACAAATATTAACTTTGCAAAGCGTAGAATACTCTTCATTTTTTCACTCAATTGATACAGAGAGTGAAACAAGTACTTCCCTTTACTTATCAGGAATCCAAGAGAGACAGTGGAATTACTTTATCTGCTAGTCAATATTAGAAGTAGGAACTTAAGACTTAAATTCAGAGATTTCAGCAAAAGTCGCCGGCTTTTGCGTGAAGATTCCAAGAATTATTCCAATCATGGAAGTCCACTTCAATTTTTTGCTTTGTAAATTTGAGTCTTAACTTGGTACTCACTCTTGGAGCTGTGTATATAACTTTCTATGGTGAATTTTGAGATCTCAAATGAAAAGTCTAGTCGAAGGGGATGACATGACCCTCTCGTCCACAACTTATTTGTTTTTGGTCCGTTCCAAAAAAAAATAAACCCTTTGTAAATTTGGTAACAATTTAGCTTAATTAGGATCACAAATTTTAAAAGTCTTTCATTTTTTACTTAAACTCCGTGCTCAGTCAAACAGAGGTAATAATAATTTTTATTTTATTTCACAAGTGGACTAATGTGTATCAAGACATATAACAACAACAACAATCCAGTATAATCTCACAAGTGGGGTATGAGGAGGGTAATATGTACGCACACTTTACCCAACCCCGAAGGATAAAGAGGCTGTTTCCAGAAGATCCTCGGCTCAAAAAAGCAATAGGATTCTGTGTATCAAGACATAACAGATAAAAATAAATCACTTATGATTCTGTGGTATGGAAGAAGAAATAATCATAGAATAAAGGAGTTGTAAATATTATTCCATGTTTGGTATATATTTTCTATTTAAGCATTGTCTTTTTTTTTTCTTTTCTTTTTGTTGCTAATAAAGATACTGATATTAAAAGCTAAAGTGCATTATTATAATATCCAAATCCTCCTATAAAGTTATACATCAAGTTTGGTATAACTTTATATCACTATTGACATGAAGTAACTAATCCATGTATAAGATAAAACATCAAATGGACAAATTAAATTTGTCTTTCTCCTAGAAGCCTATGAAAGCAAAGTATCCAAGGATATAGTAAATTTATAGTCTTTTAGTTTAAAAATAAATAAATATTTTAAATGATATATGGCATATCCAATTTTATGCAATAAACAAAATACACGCACAAACGAAACACCTTAGTCAGCGGAAGAAGTCACCCTCAATCCGATCTAGCAAGAAATGCTTTACCGGTAAAGTAAAGCGAGAGACAGTCGATCCTTTCTTAGGGTTCCAAGTAATTTAACCAGTGCCAAGAAAAGTATGCGGTTGTAAAGCAAGAAATACTCTCTACACTATTAATATATATTACTAATCCTTGCATTGCTAATCCATGTTCCCCTCCTCCTCCTCCTTCTTCTTCTCCTTCTTCTTCTCACTCTTTCTAATCCGAAAGGCTATTGAAAATAGCCTCTGTACCATCACTAGGTAAGGATAAGGTATGCGTACGCACTACCCTCCTTAGACCCCACTTGTAGAAATATACTGGATTTATTTTTTTGTTGTTTGACGGGCGCAAAACACACACTTAAATTGTACTCGCTAATCAAAGGTATAGTATAATATCGTATCCATATGGATTGGAGTGAAATAATATTCTCGTAGTTTCTAGCTTGTTTGCTATCCGGGAGGATCAACAATTGAGATTTATATGATTAAGAATTTAAATTAACTAAGAATCCAAAGCTATTGACTAATGACTATTGAGACAAGGAATAAGCAGCTAAGGTTATCGGTGGGAGAATATAGGTTTTGGCAGGAAAGGTGCAAGAAATTGTTTGGGATCTAACTCTAGATAATTCACTTCCAACGTTCAAGTGAGTCTCTCGAATTCACTCTATTATTAGTTCAAACATTCAATAAATCTCCTCTATCGATCAAGTATTAATTTTACGAGATGAACCAATTTAAGCGCTGTGAAGACATGCAAGAATACGTAGTGGATCGGTCTTTAGAAAAATCTCTTTCGGTTATTCTCCTAACTAGGTTTAATCAATGATTCAACTAGCCTCTTTCCATTACTTAGAAGAATCTATGAACTCAACCAACAATATAATGCAAATATATCACAAGTTATGCCTCTCTTGATTACATGAACTAGTAAATATAGATGGAACAATTAAATCTTTCACAACGATTCAAATATATAAAAATAGAGTTATAATCCACAAACAATCATCAATACACCAAATTCATCAAACCTCAAAAGGAACTACTCCATACATATAGAGAAATTCATCACAAATATAATTAAAGTATAGAAAAATATAGATTCGATCCAAACCCGGGTCTTGGGAGTGGAATTAATAATGAAATCTTTGTGCTTGTGTTCTTCCTACTTCTCCTTAGCCTCCTTAGGTCTCCAATCTCTCCAAAGTCACTCTATAATGGTATTTTTGTTGTATTTAAGCCGCCCCAAAACAAACCCCGGACGAAACTACCCTTTCTTAGTCGAAATAGGAAATCACTCTAATATTTTCGTACTACCGCATCGCGCCCCTCACCGCCCCATGCGGCGCGCCAGTGGGCAATTCCAGAGCATTTGGAAAAATTATTTCTAGTCGCTTTTTGTACTAGAGCTCTGCACCTCGCGGCGCATGGCGCGGGGCGGCAGTGCAATTTTTATAGAGTAATCTTTTTTCTCACTGTTTGATATCCAGAGTTGATGCTCGACCTCGAGCACGATCCTCGCTTAATAACCATGAACATTTACGTACTCAACTAGTCAAGAACTTCCATTGATCCCATCTAGAAGAAAAATCATTACACATCCTATGCTCTGCATGACATACATAGGTCTTGTTCAAATTCTTACAATACCGATACGACGGATGAGATCTGTATAAATTCATAACACCGCCGAATCAACAATTCATTGGGTCTATACTTCTGGCAAGAACTATCACCTTATTCTGAACCAAACAATGGTCTTAACCCCTTAATTTACTTCATATACTTATATTGCACTGATCTCGAATTCAATGATCTCGTCTCACCCATTACGAACTTCTCAGGCAATAAGCCACCCTAGACATAATCAAAAGCCGCATATGATGCCCNCTCTGCATGACATACATAGGTCTTGTTCAAATTCTTACAATACCGATACGACGGATGAGATCTGTATAAATTCATAACACCGCCGAATCAACAATTCATTGGGTCTATACTTCTGGCAAGAACTATCACCTTATTCTGAACCAAACAATGGTCTTAACCCCTTAATTTACTTCATATACTTATATTGCACTGATCTCGAATTCAATGATCTCGTCTCACCCATTACGAACTTCTCAGGCAATAAGCCACCCTAGACATAATCAAAAGCAGCATATGATGCCCCAATATGCCAACAGGCTACCAATTCGAACGCGATACAATAAAAGAAAATGAACTCTGGAAGGATTTACCAATCCCACGCACTAATACGGACTTTCCTTAGAAAACAGGAAGCAAGGCATACAAAATAACATATAGAAAACTATACTAAACATCACACTGTTGCAAACTTCATACTTGGTTTACATCTTTAATCAATCAAGTAATCACATGCCACACTTATATAATCTTCTCGTGGGATACACTCCCACAACCTACCACAACAATATCTGGAGCGTACATCCAAACCACCGGTCGCACTAACGCTAAAGAGCGATCAAGAATTATTAACCAGGANGGCGATCCAATTTAGATTTCAACACATTTTATTCACTTGCAATTGAGGTCTTCTAATAGATAACATAAGGATAACACAACTTTAGAACACCCCGCAGGAGATGACCCACCTGCTTTGCCCCCAACTAACATTTTTGCTTAACTTCCACCGCCATAAGCCTTACGTAGTCACTTGATCTTCCTGAATCTGTACTCATACCACAACATGAAATTTATTTCACTCTCAACTAGGAGACATGAAAAGATTCTTCACACGCCCATAGCTCGGGCTATAACTTGAATCACGATGGACTTCAAACATCTATTAGTTCTTCTATCATTCAGCAGACCCTTCTCGTCACTTCCAAATCATATAGATACGCCTCACAGTACTAAAATACTCATCACATAGCCACAACCATCATTTCCACTAACAGGGACACTATCGAACATATAAGTTCAAAAATACTTGTTCATACAATCAACACCTCGGCCCTCCCGCCATAGGTAAAGATCCAACCTCAAGTCCTCCAGACTGGCCTACCATAAACTCACAAAGATAACACCTCACCCCTCGATCGGGGAATCACAAACCATCAAGGCACATCTGATACTGTGCGCCCATGCGCGCATACGAACGCGTGGAAGGAATTTCAAAAGTTTATTTTCAAGATGAATCAAGGACGTACGATAAGAATTCAAGAATGTGAAGTTTTCCTAAAGGTTCTACAGCCTCTTGAGGATAAATACAGACGTCCCCGTACCGATCCGCGAGACTCTACTAAACTGGCTTATGACTCGCGAGACCAATTAACCTAGGCTCTGATACCAACTTGTCACGACCCCAACTCCGGTCATGATGGTGCCCAATACACTGCTAGGCAAGCCCGACCATTCAACAACATTATCCCAAATTTTTATTCAGATTATAGATAAATATCATAGAGAATTTACTAAGTTATTTCATTCAAGTGTATAATTAATAATAAAATCTGCGGAAGTTCAATTAAAATACCACACCATAGCCCAACAGAATCCGGTGTCACGAATATGAGCCTCTAATACAGAATATCCACCTATTACAAGTCTGTCTAGGAAAAATACGGAATAAAAGATAGAGATAGAGGGGAGAGATCAAGGCTGCGAACGCCATGCAGCTACCTCAATACTCCCGGATACTGCCTGCTCAGCTAAACAATTCCTCACTTAGCCTGTGGTGTACCTGGATCTGCACGCAAGGTGCAGGGAGTAATGTGAGTACTCCGACCCAGTGAGTAATAAACATAAATAAAGGCTGAGAATAAGAAATCATGGAAAAATACAAAGTAAACTATAACTGGCAGTTTAGAACAACAAATAGTGAAGCAACAAGTCAATTAAGTCAGAGTACCAAATACTGAGACAGGTATAACAGATAAAAACAAATGCATGAGTGCAATGCAATGCATATAATGGTACACTCTAGTACCCACTGCGGCGTGCAGCCCGAGCCATCCATTTATTTATCGTCGACGGCGCTCACTGGGGGTGTGTGCAGACTCCGGAGGGGCTCCTACAGCCCAAGCGCAATATCAAGCCATCTCGTGGCATCAAATCTAGGCCTTCGGCCTCATATCAATCTCAGTATAATCACCCAGGCTCTCGGCCTCAATATCAATGTAATCAACCAG